TGAACCTGACCAGCACTGACTACAGGAAGCCCGAGGCACAGTTGCTCTGCCCCGGGCTTCCTGGAATCAGCGTCTGATCAGTTTCAGCAGCAGCTGACTTGGGGTTATTAAGTTGAATCTGTATGTAAGTCAGAACTGGCGGTCAGTTTCAGCAGCGGCTGAATCTGGACGCCAGTTCCGACTTACATACAGATTCAACTTAAGAACAAACCTACAGTCCCTATCTTGTACGTAACCCGGGGACTGCCTTATCTGATTTGTGTCCATTAATCCTTTGTCATAGAGACTGTCCAGGGGGGCATTTCTGGCACTTGAGGGCATATATCACATTAGTGGATGTGCAGTTGTATGAGCCTCTGATGGAAGCTTATGAGGTGAGGTGGTGGCTTAAGAGGTTAGGTCCTGTGATGTCACTTGTGTAGATGTGTGGACAGAATTGGCACTGGGGTTTATTGCAGGGGTAGCTTCTTGAGTGAGTATGATGGAGGTGTGCTGCATGGTTTCTGGAAAGAATTAGTTTCAGGTTAGGGGGTTGTCTGTAAGCAAGGATTGGCCTGTTCCCCAAGCCCGTGAGTGAGGGGTCATTTTCCAGGATAGGTTGTAGATTGTTAATGATGCCCTGGAGAGGTTTAAGTTGGGGGCTGTAGGTGATCACCAGTGGTGTTCTGTTGTTTTGTTTGTTGAGCCAATCTTGAAGAAGCTGATGCCCGGGTACTTGTCTGGCTCTCTCAATTTGCTTTTTCACTTCTTTTTTCCACCATTGTGTGGAATGTTGGTGTAAACAGCTTCTACATTCATGGTGACCAGGATGGTGTTTTCAGAAAGATTACTGATGTTCTGTAGTTTCCTCAGGAAGTTGGTGGTGTCTCAAAGTTGTAATAGTATGTTGTAATGGTTACAGAGATCCCTCTGCCCCTCTCCCCTCCAGCCTTCCTTAGTTCCCCAATCCATAGCTTTTCATTTATCTGCATATTTCAGTGATGCTACTTTATTCTCCCATACTGCACTGCCTAAACATCAGGAGGGAGGACATCTGGAATACAGGAAAAGACAACGTCCTTGCTTTCAGTTCTGGTGTCTGATGCTACAGCTCCCTCTAGCAATCAAGAGGAGCAATTTCAGGGACCTATCTACACCTGGAATGAATCCTCCTCATTTTACTGATAAGCATGGTACACGTGCTGTCCAGCCTACCCGGGAGCTGTGTGTGGCTAGAGCATGCTCAGTGCATCTGAAAGCTTCAGAAACGTTAGCTGATAAGTTCTTAAACTTCTGCTGAGCGTTGACAAAACAGTTTTCAGAGGCTTATCTTTTGGTCCAGTTCAGAAATTTTTTTCCAACTGGGATAGAAAGACATTCATCCCTTACACCAGCATGACCACTCCCTTTCTTTGCTTTAAAAAAAAAGTACCTTCATATATAATCATTGAAGTTCAGCTTTAATTGGGACATATTTATTTTCATATAAACTTAGGTTTTTTACAAAATACCAAGGAAGAAGCAGTGAGACTATTCACATGGAGAAAACACTCATGTGCCTATTATGTTTAACCAGCCTATCAAAATGTATTGTGTGAGTGAATTTTTCCTAAGCTTGAGTTCTTGTTCCACCTGTCTGTTCTTTGACTTCCATGTGATGGTTTGAACTGACAACTTCCCATTTGCTTTTTCCAGGTGGTTATCATCTTGTGAAAATAGGAGATCTATTCAATGGGCGATACCATGTGATTCGGAAGCTTGGATGGGGACACTTTTCCACGGTTTGGCTATCTTGGGACATTCAGTAAGGTTTTTGTTCTTTTGCTGGCATTTTTGCCAAGAATCTAGAATAGATGGCCTGTGCACAGATTCTTACTATCTTTCATGGACTGTGCATACGTCATAAAAGATTATTGCAGTAGTATGGGCACAAGTATTCATATTTATATTGCATGCATGTTAGTGGACAGAATGGCCACTCAAGCTATAGTTTGTCCTAAATATGTAGGGCAAAGGAAACTAATTGGGTTTTATAGGCACTCTAGAGACAGTTTTCTCATGAGTAAATTAGCACTTATCTTCCATGTTATTAAGAAAGCAATCCTTTAATAACCAGGTCTTGGATGCAAGTGAAACAAGCGAATTCTAGAGACTACCTCTTTGAATAGGTCAACTTATCACTAACTTGTTATGTCTGTTTTAGGGGGAAAAGGTTTGTCGCTATGAAAGTAGTGAAGAGTGCTGAGCATTACACAGAAACAGCACTGGATGAAATCAAACTGCTGAAATCAGTGAGTGTCTGAAGGCAGAAAGCTGTTTTCAGCTTTCTCCATTTTCAGAGTTAATACCCCATTCCATTTGGAAGATAGATTCTTGTACTTAGGGGTCACCTCTGGGTTCCACAGTACATGAGAGGGGTAAGTTACAGACCCAAGCAACCAGTTGAGTCTTTGGATGGGTTCTATCTTTGATCTAAAAATGGATAAGAATAAGTAAAGCTGACAAACTGACTTATAGAACACCATTCAACACGTTTTAATCTCTTTTCCAAGGTGGCACTTATCTCCTCCATGGGAACTGTTCATAACCAATATGGATGGTAGCTTCTGATCATCATACAATAATTGAGACTCCTTGCCCCCTAATCTCTACTTTACGTCACGTAGAGCTAGTGTTTTTGTTTTTCGTGCAAGTTTTATTGGTCTGATGATAAAATGTTCATGTTACATGCTGTTTAATGGATTGTTGGGAAGGTTGAAGGAGGTATACACCATTCTAGGTACTACTAGCACTGCTTAGCACAGCTCCTGCTTTCCCCCTTTCCTGTTACACCCCACTGATGTCTAGTCTAGGAGTTCTGTTCAATGATTTATCTCATGTTACTTGTCTTCCTCCATGCAGGTCCGTAACACTGACCCCAACGATCCAAATAGAGAGATGGTGGTTCAGTTACTAGACGACTTCAAGATCTCAGGAGTCAATGGCTCCCGTATCCTTTTATAGACTATATGACAAGGCACAGAATTGAGTTTGTGTGGGAGTTTCCTGTGCAGCTCTCTTGCCAGCGGGGGGGGTGAGCAATGTCTCTTTCAGCTGTTTTACTGTCCAAACCAAATCTCCAATAAAACAGTCCCCTCCTAGTGGGCCTTATAGTTGCATGCAGAGCATAGGCCTAGAATAATCTATCCGCAACTCTGTGACCATATACATAGGGTGAAAAGGACAGTCCTGCTGAGTCGTGCTGTAATCTTTAAGGTAGCATGACTGAACTTGATTAGAAATAAATAGCCCAGTATCTTGGGGTTTTCCTCTTTTAACCTTGAACAAGCCATCTGCAGTATTTCATTAAAAACCTGTTTAAAAAAAAAAAGGTATTGTGCAATATCAGAGATTAATCTGATAGTGCTGAGTCTAAATTAGAGGCTTATAATTTAGCAGCACAGATAGGTTTCTAAGTAAGGATGTCTGTTTTGGCAGCCTTACAGGCCCAGTATCGTTTCTAAAGCACAACCTTATGACCTGCTTAGAAACTCTTTAATACTGGATCGAAAAGGTCCTGTGTATCTTTGTAATATCAAGAACAAAGGCAGACTCTGATAAGCGTTCTGCTTGACATGAAGTACTTTACTGGGTTCTTTGTAACTTGTGGTCTAGAAATTTTATTCCCAGAACTGTCCTTTGCACCATATCTCCCTCTGTTGCAGAATGAGTGACTTCCATTTAGGGATGTGAAGGACTAGTCGATGATAAGCAAATGCTTATCAGATAGTCAACATGGTAATTGACTAGTCCGTCTCTCCCTCCCTCCCCCCCCCTTTTCTGCCTCTACCAGAAAGTGGTACTTCAAAGTAGCAGCGCTGCTTTATTTTCAGTGTTGTGTAAGACTTCCGGGCTCTCTTTGGTTCAGTGTGTCCCTCTTTCTCCTTGACTCTGCTGCAGACATCTGTATGGTGTTTGAAGTTCTAGGGCATCATCTCCTGAAGTGGATCATCAAGTCAAATTATCAGGGCCTTCCACTCCCCTGTGTGAAAAGAATCATCCAACAGGCATGTTCCAACTTTCACTGTAGTAATACCCAGACCCCAGTGAGAACTGTGTTTTGGGACTCTAATTGCTGTTCCATCAAATGAATGAAATGAAAGTTGAAGACATTTATAATAATATATTCACGTAAAATAACTACAGATAAGTGGCTTCAGCAGTCGGTCTCTGCCTTCTGTTTAGCTGCTTTGAATAGTGACTGTGCATAATATAAATCCCTGTATGCTAACAGCAAAAACAGGCTGCCTAGACTTTTCATCCCCTGGTCCCCACCAAATGTTGTTACTCCTGAAGGGAAGGAAGGCAAACATTTATAATAATATATTCACGTAAAATAACTACAGATAAGTGGCTTCAGCAGTCGGTCTCTGCCTTCTGTTTAGCTGCTTTGAATAGTGACTGTGCATAATATAAATCCCTGTATGCTAACAGCAAAAACAGGCTGCCTAGACTTTTCATCCCCTGGTCCCCACCAAATGTTGTTACTCCTGAAGGGAAGGAAGGCAATGCCTCTTTCCC